TTTAGATTGATTGTTTTGTGTGTGGCTGTCTTGTTCCAATATAATTTGTTGAAAAACTATCCTTTCTCCTCAGGGGTCAGTTTAATACAGTTGTGTGTATCTCTTTGTGGGCTACAATTCTATTCCCTTGGTTTGTGTATTCTTTTACCAATACCACACCCTCTTGATTATTGTAGCTTCATAGTAAATCTTGAATTTGGGTAGTGTAAATCCTCTGACTCTATTTTTCTTCAGTATTATATTGGCTATTCTGAGTCTTTTGTTTTTCCATATGTCTCAGTGACTTTTCTCATTGCTGAGACAAAATACCCAACACTCAAAGTTAAAGGATGAAAGGTTTATTTGGCTCACAGTTTGTAGAGGTTTTGGTCCATAATCAGCTCCCTCCAAGGCAGGGTGGCCCAGCAGAGGGCACTGCAGAGGAGAAACAGCCCATGGGAGGCAGAAGGCAGCAAAAGCAGCAAGCAGCAAGCTACAAGTGATAGATTCTTTCTGTTCCTTTATGTTGTATGGTGAGGGTAGGTAGCACTCACACCCTTAATCATACTGAGAACTATACCAAACCAATCAGTGGAGTAATTTAGTAATCACACATCCTTAATCCCAGCATCGCACACTCTAGATTCTGACACCTCTAAAAAGTCCCACCTATGACCCTATGAGACTTTTGGGGGACATCTAGACATGAGTCATAACACCATATAAACTTTGTGATCCATTTGTCAATAACCATAAAATATCTTGCTAGGAATTTGATTGGGTTTTATTGAATCTATAGATCAAATAGCAAAGAACTGATATCCTAATTTTATTGGCTCTTTGTATTTTTCAGCATGGAATATTGCACCATTTATTTGGATCTTTGATTTTTTTCATCAGAGTTTCTGTTATTTTCCTCATCTAGATAGTGCACATATACTTATCATTTCTTTCTTCCTTGATTGACGTGAATGTAAATGGTACTGTGTTTTTAATCTCAAATTCCAACTATAGGAAAGCAGCTGGCTTTTCCTTGTATCCTACCAACTTTGGTAAAGGCGTATGTTAGTCTCAGGACGGTATTTTAATGATTCTTTGGAATTTTTATGTAGGCACTCATATCATTTATGAACGAAGACAATTTTATTTCCTTCTTCCCAACCTGAATATTTTTCCCTTTTTTCCTGTTGTATTGCATTAGCTCAGACTTTTAATATGATTTTTGAATAACAGTGTTGACAGAGGGTATGTTTGCCTTGTCTCCACTGTTAGGGGAAAACTTTCTCTTTATTAGGTATGATGCTAGTAGTAGTTTGGGGTTTTTTTGTTTTTTGGGGGGGGGTGTTTTTGTTTTTGTTTTTGTTTTGGTACCAGGGATCGAACTCGGGACCTTGTGCTTGCGAGGCAGGCACTGGAACCACTGAGCTAAATCCCTGGCCCTTGGTGGGGGGTTTTTTTGGTACCTGGGATCAAACTCGGGTCCTTGTTTTTGCACAGCAGGCAGTGAAACCACTGAGCTAAATCCCCAGCCCAGTTTTTTAAAAATATATGTTCTTTAACAAATTGAAGAAGCCTCCCTCTATTCCCAGTTTGCTGAGAGCTTTTCATGAGTGCATGTCAGATTTTGTCAACTGCTTTTACTGCATCTATCAATGTGATCTTATTTTTTCTTCTTTAGCATGTTGGTTTGATATATTAACACATTTTAAAATGTTGAACCAGCCTTGTATACTTAGAATAAATCCCACTTAATCATGATGTATAATTATTTTTAATGTATTGTCCAATTCAATTTGCTAATATTTTGTTGAGGGCTTCTGTGCCTAAATTCATGAGAGAGACCCGCCTGTGGTTTTCCTTTCCTATAATACCTTTGTCTGGTTTTGGTATTATGATACTGCTAGCCTAATAGGATGAATTAAGAAATGGTCCCTCTGCCTTTATTTTCTAGAAGAGATTGTAATTGGTATCTCTTCTTCCTTAAATCCTTAGTAGAATTCATCCTGAAATGACTGGGGTCATTCACGATGAATCTTATCAAATTGAAGCAGAGATAAACGAGAGTAGAAAAACAGTTGAGAAAATCAACAGCACTAGAAGTTAGTTCTTTGAAAAGATGAACAAAATTGACAAACTTCCACCTGGATTGACGGGGGGGCAGGGGGCTCAAATTACTAAAATTGGGAAAAAAGGACAGAACATTACTACTGGTATTACAGAAATAAAAGGATAACAAATACATTATAAACTACTATATGCCAAAAATAGGTAATTTAGGTAAAATTTTAAAATTTTCTAGAAGCACACAAACTGATGAAACCGAGTCTAGAAAAATATATACTGTGAACATATATAGAACTAGGACAGAGACTGGAGTAGTCATTTTAAAACTTTCAATAAAGAGACGCTGAGGCCTGGATGGCCTCACAGGGGAATTCTACCAAATATTTAGAGAAGAATTAGTTCTGATCCTTTCCGAACATTCCAGAAAACACAAAAGAAGGACAGACTTCCCAATGAGTTCAGCCACTCTGTAAGGCTAGCACCGTCCTGTTGCCAAAACCAAACATATCACAAGAAAACTGCAGAACAATATATCTTAAGAATGTGGACACAAGCATTCTCAACAAAATACTAGCAAACCAAATCGTGCAATGTATAAAAAGGATCATATGCCATGACAAACTAATATTTAATGAAATAGACTATATTAAAAAAGGAGAAAATTCCACGTGACCATCTCAATAGACGCAGAAAAAGACTTTGATGAAAACCAGTACACTTTCCTGATAAAAATATTCAATAAAATACAAGTAAATAGGAATTCCCAAACTGATAAAGAGTGTTTACTAAAGGATATCATGAAGAACGTGAAAAAAAGTAACTCACTGGAAGGAAGAAAGTATTTGTAAATCATGTGTATAATAAGGAACTTGTATCCAAAACATATAAGAACTTTCACACATAACCCAATTAAAAAGTTAAAGAACCTTAGCAAGTAACTAGTTAAAAACTAGGCCAAAGAGTTGAATAGAAATTTCTCCAGTAGATATATCTCCAATGAAAATTTAAAAATGGCTAGAAGGGCTGGGGATTTAGCTCTGTGGTTCCACCATCTGCCTTGCAAGTCCAAGGTCTGGAGTTCGATCCCCAGTACCAAAAAAAGAAAAACAAAACCAAAAAAATGGCTAGAAAACTTCCTTTTTTTGTTTTTTTGGTACAGGGGGTCAAACTCGGGACCTTGTTCTTGTGAGGCAGGTGGTGGAACCACAGAGCTAAATCCCCAGACCTAGAAAACATCTTTTTAAAAGGTCAACATCATCAACCATAGGGAAATTCAAATATCAAAATCACAATAGGAAAAAAAAAAGAAAGAAAGAAAAATCACAATATGATACTACTTCACACCCACTAGGTTAGTTGCAATAAAAAGACTCACATTAACAAATGTTGGTAAAGATGCAGAGAGACTGGCTCTCTGACCCATTGTTGGTCAGAGTGTAAAATGGTGCAGATACTTTAGAAGAGTTTGATAATTCATCAAAATGTTAAACATAAAGTTACTGTATGATCCATTAATTTCAAATCTAGGCATATACCTAAGACAAATGAAAACATATGTCTATCCAAAAACTTGTACACAAATGTACAGAGCAGCTTTATTCTTAAGGGCCAAAAGGTAGAAAGTAGGTAAATGTTCATCAATTGATGAATACATAAACAAAATATGGTTTATCCATACAGGGAAATGCTATTTGGCTATTAAAAAAAAAGATTAAGGCTGTGAATTTATCTTAGTGGCACCACACCTGCCTTGCAAGTGCAAGGTCCTGAGTTTGATCCCTGGTACAGAAAAAAAAAAAAAGACTACAGTGAGCTGGGCCTGTTGTAGTCTCAGCTACTTGGATGGCTGAGGCAGGGCGATCACTTGAGCACAGAGGTTTAAGGCCAGCCTGGGTAACATGGTAAGAGCCAGTTTCAAAGAAGAAGAAAAGAATAAAGTACCAATACATGCTACAATATGAATGAACCCTGAAAACGTCATGCTAAGTAAAGGACTTCAGTCACAAAAGACTATAATTCATTTGTGTAAAGTGTCTAGAACAAGCAAATCTACAGAAGACCAAAGAGAGACAGAAAAGACTAGCAGGAGTAGGAGTGTCCAAGGTCTGCTAATGTGTGTGGTATGTCAAAATGTTCTAAAGTTAGACTGAGTAATAATCACACAACTTAGTGAATCTACTAAAAAGTGAATTGTACACTTTTAAAACGGTGAATTTATGGTATGTGGAAGATCGTAATAAAACTGTTTAAAAAAATAAAAAGTAAGCCAGGCATGGTGGCATACTCCTGTAATCCCAGCACTGAGGGAAGCTGAGGCAGGAAGATCGAAAGTTCTAGACAAGCCTGGACAAATTAGTGAGACCCTAATAAAAAATAAAAAAGTGGGGCCGGGGATTTAGCTCAGTGGTTTTGTCACCTGCTGCGTAAGCGCAAGGACCCGAGTTTGATCCCCGGTACCAAAAAATATTAAAAAATAAAAAATAAAAAAGTGAAAAAGAGCTGGACGTGTAGCTCAGTGCAAAGACTCTAGGTTCAATCCTCAGTGCTGGAGGGAAAAAAAGGCAGAGAGGATGGTTTAGCAAAGCCTCACACTCAGCTTCAGCTTAGACTATTGTCACCTACAGCCCCTCCTGTCTTACCTGACCCTCCAGCCTGACCTCCACCCCACTCCCACACTGGATTGCTTTAAAAAGCAAGTCCCAGACCATTTCTTTTACAAAAATGCAGTATATCACTCCAAAAGATAAGAGACTCCAAAAACATGATCAGGATCCAATTATCACATCCAAAAACTTGTTACACAGGACACTGTATAATCAGACACTGCTCACATCTCCCCTAAGTGTCTCATTAATGTGATTTTTATAACAGGGGCTTTGTCCAAACCAAGATCCACACATTCCATGTGGTTGTCTACTGTACTTCCAAGTGTCTCTAAGCTTTTTCTCCCTCTTTTATTTTGCTTGCAATTTATTTATAGAAGAAGCTGGGTTGTTTGTTGCATACCTGGTTTTGCTGATGGCATTACTGTGGTGTCCTTTAGTGTGACCACTGTGACAGACACAGTGACTCCCTCTGAAATGCTCACTGCCAGTTGCACTGTGACTGTGACTCAACTCCTTTGTGTCTCATTTGGCAGAAGTGATGTCATCTGGGCTCAAGACTAGCCCATGTGCTGTTGCATGTTCAGTCTAGAGATGAAGAAAATGAGGCTTAAAGAGGCTGAAGAAGGTGGGCCACAGCCCACCCCCAGTACATATCTGAGTGCGGGCTCAGGTATGTCTGACGTTAAAATCCTTACTGTCACCCATGATGTGATAAAAGCCCTCACATTTCCTTTGCCTGCGGTTTGTGGTGATGGTTGTGGTTTTCATAGCTCCAGGAAGTAGCCCTTCAGTTCATCCAGAGAACTTACTTTCACATTTCACCTGCTTTTGGCTGTAAGTAACGGAGCATGCCATCTCAAATTGACTCTGCAAGAAGGATTTTTATTATCTTATATAACAAGAGATTCAGAAGTAGGGCAGCACCAGGGCCACCAGCACAGACCCTGGCTCGTTCTGTCTCTGTACCCTGCATCACGAGAGTGTGCTGGATCTCCTGGTGGCTCTAAGGTCACATCTAACCACTCCACGTCACGCAGAGGATACAGCAGCATCTGGTGGACATGGTGGCCCGTTTTCCTCCATGTTCCTGTTCAGGAGCAAGAGCACTTTTCCCAGAGTTCCTTGAGCAGATCTCTCCTCCCGTTTCCTGGGCAGGAACAGGGTCAGGTGCCTGCTCACCTTATCTGGGCCAGCAAGGAGGCTCCTGGGCCCTGTGCCCACACCGGGCGGACAGTGTGCTTCCAGGATTTAAAGATCCAAACAGACTGGAATGGGTGCTATGACCCCATTAAGTTTTAAAATAAAAAATACAAAGGGTAAGTGTTCTTCCTTCCTTCCTCACTCATTCATTTGTGGACATCTACTAGCTTCTAGCCCTCCCGGCAGAGAGGTTAACCAGTAGTTCCTTCCTACAGCTCACATTCCTTGGTTTGGAGTCAATACCCTGCTGGGAGCGCAGGAAGGCTCTTAGTCCCTCCTCTGACTTACGCAGTGATCCCTTTGTCTACATCCCTTCCCAACCTGCTGTGTAGGCAACGCTCCATTCATTTCATCACACACAGCCATGTTCCTTGTGGGAATCACAAGAAAACCAAAGAAAAAGGTAGCACAAAGTCAGGTATCTTCGCTTTGTTACAATATGAATGAAATTGCTTTGTTATTATTTTCAGCTTAGTCTACCATCGGCTTTCTCTAGAAAAACCACTGGCTCTCTTCTTATGTAACAAAACGCCATGACTGGTAGCAAACGTACAACACAAAAGCCAGGCGTCCCGCCTGGCGTACCAGGACTGGGATGGCAGAGGTACAGAAGACTTGAGAACCTATTCAAGCCGGCTTGCTCATGTCTCCATCTCATTTCATTCTTTCTAGGCGTGTCCACTGCCACCGAGCCACTGCTGCCACAGTGGAGACCCCAGCAGCTGTTGTGTACCAGTGTTTGTCACAGCGGCGCTGAGGGTCTTGAAGAATTCGCTTCATTTTCTGATTCTCACCCTGGTCTGAAATGCACAGAGGAAAGTGTCCGGATGCCCAGCGTGGAGCAAGAGAGGATGGCCTCAGTGACCAGCTGGACCAGGTCAGGCCACCTGTCTGCCTGGAGAAAACTCTGCCCAGCTCCCCCAGTGGTTCCAAAACTCAAGTGAGAACAGGCACAGGAAGGGTGTTCACAAACGCAAAGCAGCGTTATTGCTCGACATACAGAATGTCCTGCACAGCACTTCTCTTGGCGATGTGATCGCTGCCAGCACTCAAGCTCAGACGGGTGACAGCGGCCAGGCCCCCAGGGGCTTCCATTCAGTGTCACCCACCTCAGGGCTCAGGGCAAGCCCCACCCTCTGAAGTACTGCAGTGGAGCCCGAAGCCCTCCGAAGCCTGCGAGGTAGGAGCCGCAGGAGGCCGCACTCAAGAGTGCAGCAGAGATGGAAAGGGCCGGGAGGGAGCCGACGTCAGAAGGGCTCCCTGACCTGAGCGAGTTGTTATGTGTCACAAACATATACGATGAAAAAATAGCAAAAGAGAAAATCAGATGACCTAATTAACTGTAGTAGATTATCACAGCGAATGTTTACCTTAGAAGGAAACCGGCTTCAGAAAGGAAGCCTCCGTGTGGGCTCCTGACTTCGGTTTGGCCCTCATCACCACCTGCTTTGTGCTTCGGGGCAGGACATACGTTCTCCTGTGTGGGCAGAAAGGGAGGGACACCTCAGTGCACATTCAGAGACAGGGACTGGGCCTGCGACTGTCAGGGACAAAGCCTCCAGACCGGGCCAGCTCTGCAGCTGCACAGCCTGTAGGGCGTTTGCCCGAGAGGGCCCCTAACCCGGGCGAGGTGCAGGACCGGGGCTGTGCCACCTCCCCCAGCTCCGCGTCCCTTCATCCACAACACGGATTTTTTTTTTCCTTTGGCACTGAGGATTGAACCCAGCGCCTCTGCTCTGAGCCAAGTTCCTTCTTTAAGCTTCAAACCTATTTCACAGATGAGGACACCAAGTCACAGAGAGGCTGGACTGTCCTGTCTGAGGCCACCGAGTGTTCGTGGCCTCTCCCGCACCTTCTCCCCGCAACTTCAGCGAGCTGAAGTCGGAAACCCGTCTTGCTGAGCCCCAGTCCCTAAACCGCCGGCCTCACCGCCCCAGGCGCGTCCTGGAGCTGTCCCCGTCACTGTCCCCATCCCGTCCGTGCCCCGTTCCTGTCCTCGTCCCCGCCCAGCTGCATCACCCTGCTCGCCCCTCCGCCCGTCCGCTGCCGGGCCCCCAGGTTCGGGGCGCGGGGGACCCCTGCCGGGCCAGGATGGGACTACGCTTCCCAGGCTGCTCTGCTGCCGCCCCCACACCGGGGACCGCGCCCGCCCCGCCCTTGCCGGCCGCGGCTCTGGAGGGACGCGCGGACCGAGGCGCCCAGGCACGGCGGGAGGGCGGACGGACAGACAGACACGCGCCCGGGCCGGGCATGGGCGTGCGCGCCGGTGAGCGGGGTGCGGGGCGCGGGGCGCGGCGGGCGGAGACGATCCCGCGTCCGCACTGCGGCTCGGCAGCCTCGCTCTAGGCGCGGCCCGGTCCCCGCCACGGGCTTCCACGCAGGCTTTGTCCCCGCGGCCCCTCCCGAGGCTGGGGTCGGGCCGGGCGGGCGCGGTTACCATCGCCAATGCGCGGGTTCAAGGGGCGGGGGCGCGCGACCCCGGGGACCTGGGGACGGGAGAGCGGATTCCTTAAAACCGGGTGCAGGGCTCCCCGGGGTCCTCGCTGGAGGGGCCGGGCGGGGGTGACGCGGAGGGCAGCGAGGCCTCCTCCCCGGCGCTGTCACAGCCGGGCCGCCGGGGGAGGGGGAGATGGTGGTGTCTCGGCCTCCGGGGGTGGGGGAGCAGGGGCCGGGGCAGGAGGGCTCTCAGCCTCCCAGCCGCCCTGGCGCCCACAGAGGGGCTGGGGCGAGGCCTCCCTTCCGCGCCAGGTGGGCCTCGGCGCGCGTTTCCGACCCGCTGACCTCCGGACGCCCCGACCTGGCGCCTCGGTGAACGCAGCGCCCGGGCCGCCCCGCGTGGGCAGATTTTTAAGTGACTGAGTGGCCGGGCGCAGTGCGGCCCCTCTCTTCTGTGCGCTGAGGTTAGGGGCTGTGGCTCCCGGCTGGGCTGAGCTGTCCGAGGGGTGAGGGCAGGCCCCCCCCCAAATTAGAGAACACACCGTGGGAAAAGCGCAGGCGCAGGTTCGGCCCAGCCCGGGCCGCTGAGCCAGACCTGGGGTCGGGGTGCCGCTCGGGGAAAGGCCTTGGGTTCAGTCCCCAGCACCGTCAGGATGCAAGTGGGGGGTCCAGATTTTCCATTATGTCACCGAATCTCGCCACACATCACTGAGAGGGAAAGAGTTCTCTACGAAGAGGCCCTGAGGTCACCGCCTAACCAATAAGCAGCTGTCGTGGAGTCAAATACTGGGTCGTAACAGTGCGTGGGGCGTGTGCAGAGGATACCAGAGCAGAAAACAATGGCTATGAAGAACTCGGGGCCACTGGGTTTGAACCCGGCTTGTGCCGGGTGGTGCAGGGTTGTGGAGCTGAGATTCTGTCGTTTGGGAGGTGTGGCCATCAGGCAAAGCTGCCGACATCCACGGCTTTTGGCCGTGTTCGGGAGGGCAGGAAGTGGGGCGGGGAGGGGTCCGAAGGAGCAGTGTGCGGCAGTCTTTAAACGTTTCTGTGGATTTGTAGACCCGTGAAATAAGTACGCAGAGGAGGCGTGTTGTGGGACTCTATGGTCAGTGGACCCACGGCCTGACTCCTGCCGGATGTGCGAGTGAGCCAGGGGACATTCTCTTTTCTCGCCCATCTTGGTTGCTGGCCATCATTTGTGTTTTAGAGAGTCGTCTCCTCTCTCAGTGTTGAAGGACAGCCCTCTCCCCCGTCCCCAAGGGGTATTGGTTCTAGGACACACACCACCAACCCCCAGATCTGCAGGTTCTCACCACCCTTGTATAAAATGCTCAGTGCTTGCGTATCAGCTACCACAACATCTTCCCATATATGTTATCTCTAAGTTATGTATACCTAATACGATGGAATGCTGTGGAAATAGCTGTCATATTGTATTTTTAAGGGAAAATGACAGGAAAAAGTTCTCTAAATGTTCGATATAGATGCATTTTATAAAAATATTTTTGACCTGTGGTTGGTTGAGTCAGGACCCAGTGCTGACTGTATTAATAATTCCCAACACTTCCAAATCCTAGCCTTCCCCAAGAACTCTCCAGGAAATGCTTTTCCTTTCCACGTCCAAGATCGCCACCAGGGTATGAACATGTTTGAGCGCGGGTGCAGTTCACTTTATTTGGCGCGTAGGGAGTGTTGAGGAAGAACTGGCCCAGCTTTTTAAATTTTTTGGTAACCGGGGATTGAACTCAGGACCTTGTGTTTGCACGGCAGGCGCCGGAACCACTGAGCTAAATCCCTGGTGCTGGCCCAGCATTTTGACAGAAGGTGTAGGTTTCCTCTCACTCCCTGTGTGTGCAAATCACACAACCAAGTGTTTTTCTCGGAGATTACAGTGGCTCAAAGAGATTCCTAGGAGTGTGTACCAAACAGTTTGTTATTACCAGACCAAGAAAACAGAATGTCTCTTCTTAAAACACAGATGTAATCTTTTATACAGAATCCTCCCCTGCCAGGGTAGTTTTGCTATACCTGGACATGGTGTTTGTGTGTGTGTCCATGAAAAGAATAAGGTGTGCACATTTATTTATTGACCGTAGAAAGTATCATGTGTGCAGGTATCTCCATCAGTATTCCTCCAAATAGATTGAATGTTACCAGGGGTTACAAGAAAAATAAAGTGCCTGGTCAGATCTGGGAGCCCTGGGGTACACAGATGTGGACAGCTAAGTCCCCCTGGACTGTTCAGAGCCCTTCGTGGGTTACTGATTGTGGCACACGCAGGTGGATCTAGGGCGGGAGAGTCTGTACAAAACATGAATGATTTTTTGTGTGCAAAAAGTAAAAATAATAATCTTGAACGACTAGCATTACAGGAACTAACTTTGGGAAACGCTGCCTTCAGATGCATTGGGGGTGGAGGGTCAAACATCTAAATAAATGTGCAGCTCATAAGTGTTTGTCATGAGTGCGGCTCGTCACCCACAGGAAGAATTCAAGTTTCAGAGTCTGGTTTTAATGGATCATACTATTCGACCCCAGTCTACTTTTCCAACCTTAATTCCTCATGCTTCTTCTTAAAACTCTCCTGCTTAGTACTTTGCTTGCACACTGTGCACCGTGTTTACTTTCAGCACATCAAAAAGTCTGTGTACCTAACTTGGAAGAGTGTGGTTGTTGACATGAGGTCCCTCCTGCGGTGGCCCCTCAGTGGGCGGGGACCCACCTCTCTCTCCAGAGTCCTTTTGAGCTCCCTGGACTTGGTCCTGCACAGCAAGGCATGGTTTGCTGTTATTTCTACCTTTGTGTTTTGTCTTCTTGCTTCAGCCTTAAGGCTGCCATTATTTATCTTTCATGTGTGTCCTGAATATGGTGGGTCCCTGGCGACAGCTGGGGGAGGGTGACAGAAAGGGCATAGCCCGGACACGAGGAGAAAGGAGCCAAGTTTGGGCAGCAGAGGCCCCGCATCGAGGGCAGGAGTCAGCGTAGGGAGCTGGATGCATGGTGTGGACATCGCACTCCCACTGGCCACTGCCCCTTCCACACCAGTTTACAGATGCTTGGCTGCCACCTTGCTAGGCGGTCGGAATCACAGTGCACACAACACCCGTGGGTCATAGCAAAGCAGAGGTCACAGTCACAACCGAGCTGGGAGACAAATGCCAGAGAAGGAGACAGGTCAGTATCAGATGCCACACAGGCAGAGGCCAGAGGGCACACGAGTCAAAGACCAGAAGCAGGAAACTCGAGGTGCCAGCCAGGAGGTCCCCAGAGGCGAGGCAAGGGGAGATGACTACAGTGACAGGAGTTAAACCCAGAAAGGGTGGACGCCGGGAGGGTGAGGGGCAGACAGGGTTAGAAGCAGGGATGGGACCAGACAGGACCAGGCCAGCAGGAGAGGACACCCCTGAGGTCTGGGGACACAGTGAGTGCTCTGCCCCCGCCTGAAGCTCAGGCCACTTGCTGCCCAGGGTGAAATCCCTGTCAGAGCGCCCAGCCACACCACGACACTGATCCAGCGCCTGCTGGGTGCTGCCTCTTGTGCTCCACAGAGCCTGCAAGAAAGCTGCTTCAGTCTCAAAGCGACTGTCCCGGAGAGCTCCCAGGTGGAAGCTCTGTAGCACCCCCTTAAGCCCTCTGAGAGAAGTGCAGCACTGTGCCTGTCCCCAGTGCCCCGTCACTGTGGGCCACTCATGACAGGGGCCCTACAAGGTCGCATCGCCGCTGATGCTGCAGGTGTGGGCCTCTGATATCGCCTGATGATCCATTTCCCAGCCAAGCCTTGGAGAAGCCTTAGCGCCTGCCGCTCTGTCCTCTGCCTGCTGTACCGGGGCGGGGACAGCGGCCAGGGAGGAGTCACTCTCTGAGTATTCCCCAGAATGTGGCCGGAGCCCTTTGCTTTCAACACAGAAAAACACTTGACAGGCCCATCTTCATCCAAAATGCTGGCTGTTGTTGTTAACCTTTGTATTTATTTGCCCAGCAATGAGGAGTGAATCAAGTATACAGGCTCCATCTGTGTTTTGTGAGCGGCTACATTGACAGTGGATTTTGTTCTAGTTTACTAGTTTTAGAACATGTGGGTTTAGCTCTTGAGTAAATTGTTTTATTAATTGTTTAAAAATATGGAATATTGATATATAAAAAGGATAAATGGATTGTTTGCTGACCCATTTTCTTGGTCATAAATCACCATCAGCCAGTTGGAGTCTTGCGTCCAACCAAAGCCCGTCCCCCAACCTGTCATTTGTCCCACCAGGACCAGCCTGTCCTGGCTACCTAGGCATGAACACACTCCTAAGCAGTTTTGGCTCTGTTTTGCCCACTAGAAAGCCTTTCGCTAGGTTTTTAAGGGCATTTACTGTTGTGGAAGTTAGTCTTTGATTGGGCTTGGGTTTAATAAGCAGGGGCATCTGTTTGGGCTTTGGTTCTGTCTGTGTAGGCAGGCTGAAAGCTGGGCAGTTCTGTATGAGTTTCCTCTTTCACAGTTCTACAAATCAAGTAGTGGAAAGAGAAGCCAAGAAAGCCACTCTGTTTGTTTTCTTTTCCAGGGCTTGTATTTCTGGATAATAGGAAGAGTTATTTAAGGGCCCAAGCCACCCTTAAGGGTTTTTTTACATTTATTTTGAGACAGGATGTGGAGAAGTTGCCCAGGCAAACTTGCGATCCTCCTGCCTCAGCCTCCCTTGGTGCTGGATCACAGCCCAGTTCAGCTCTGGTCTGTACTGCAGTTTTCATTTTCCTCGCCCACACCCGCCTTGTCTGGCAAGCGGGCGGTGCCAGGTGGACCTTAGGATCTCGTTGCGTGCTGAGTGCTCGCCGTGGGTTGGGCCCCCTGCAAACTTCCCCCGAGGCATGGGGAAGGGGAGGGAAGATCAGGGTGGCCACTGGGGGCTGGCGGGGCTGCTGCAGGCCCGTTGAGCTGGTAGACCTGGGAGTTGGCTGGAAAGGCCACATTTTTCCCTGCAGTAGAGCTAGGTTTTTAAAAAATGATAAGAAGCTCTTCCCTAAATCCCCAAGTCCAAGTTGTGCTCCGGAGGATACGCCTGTGTCTGTCTGTTTTCCTGTCTGGCTTGAGACCCTCCTGCACAGCAGCAGGACACAGGCTTCTCTCCAACAGCGCTGTCACATCCTAGGGGGCGTTACTGTGGTTAGTTGCAGCTACTGTAATGAATTACTGTCTTTCCCTGCTGAACCCCAGTGCACAGGCTGTCTCTGGTTTTCTCCCTGCTGCTGTCTCCGCAGTGTCTGGAAAGAGAGGAGGGTTTGTTGAGTGAATATGCAGATCTGAAGGCAGGAAGCCAGAGATGGGAGGAATTACAGCGTGGTCCCCGCTTGGGCGTTGCTAGAGAAATAACCATGTCTGTGACACACATGAAAGGTAGCAGAAAGCACGTGTCCACATCAGGCTGTGATGGAAGCCACCCAAAGTTAGGGAGAGGAGCAGCCCCTGTGGGCGCGGGCATGTCCATCTCGAAGGCCCCATGTGGCCGAGGAGGCAGTGGGGACAGGAAAGGGCTCTGCCTGCGGATCACAGCACTCCCGTCATCTGACCCAGGTTGCACCCTGTAGTTTGGCTGCTCTGCAGTCCCCACCCCCGAAGAGGTTGCAGGTGAAATGTGCCGTCCTAGTGCCGCCAGGGACAGCTGGGGTCCAGGGTGTGGGGCCGTGTGTCTGGGCCACCTCAGGACACGGCCACGGAGAGCTCTTCGCTGTCTGCTCCGGTGCTTACCCCAGGGCTGCCCCGTGCCTCGAGGATAGGTTCAAACCCAGTCAGCCTGCCCCGAGCCATCCTGTCCTCTCCTGCATCAGCCTCCCGGGCCACCCCCTCCTTGGCTGGCTCCCGGGGTCCCCGGCCCAAGGGTACCTCTGTGGGTGAGGCTGTCTCCACTTCCAGGAAACTTCCCTCCCTCCCTTTCCCTCCTGGGCCAAGGAAGGGCTCACTGCTTAATTCTCTTCCCATTTGGCAAGAGCGGGTCTGCAGCGAGTACTTATTGCCTTGAAAGATCTGATTGATGAAGTTTTTCCTCCTAGGAAATATCTGTGAAATTCGCTGCAAGGTTACCAGTACAATTTCATTTTAGGAGAAAGTTTAGGAGTTAAGTGGAACAGAAAAGAGTGGGGGGTGCGAGGTGAATGGCAGGGGCCAAAAGGAGGAAGAGGTAGGGAGGGACGGTGGAGGAAAGCCAGGGAGAGGAGGAGCAGTGGCAGGACGTCAGCCTTGCTGGGCCGGTGGCAGCGGGGTCCTGACAGGGGCCCCTCACGGCCACGTTGCGATCCTCCTGAATCAGTCCGCTCTGTGCTCCCCGTGCCACTCACTCCCCGGAAGGCCTCACAATCACAGCTTTGTCCTGCTCTGACTTTGTGGGAATGCTTTCTCTGCCCCGGGACCGGGCAGGCCGGGAACCCACATCCCAGCTCTGTGGCCCCGGGGACACGCGCCCCTCCTGGGGAGCTGTGCTCTGTGAGGTGGGAGTGACCAGACCAGGCAGGCTTCCCCTCTGGCTGCTGTAAGGATTGCGATCGCAGAAGTGCAATGATAAACTGACAACGTTGCAAACGCGCACAAAGCTATCGGGCTGCTCCGAACCGGAAAGTCATGGTGATCTCCCTGTTGAATTATTTGTTCAGTGGACTCCACTGATGGCACAGTACCGTCTCCAGTTCATCCGTCCCATTTCCAGAAAGAGGGTGACCACCTCTCTCTTCTCAGGGCCACTCTGAAGCTCAGGAAGCGGGGGTCGTGGCCCCTGGGGCAGCCATGGCCCTGCCCTTCCAGAAGGAGCTGGAGAAATACAAGAACCTTGATGAAGATGAGCTTCTCGGGAAGCTGTCCGAGGAGGAACTGAAGCAGTTGGAAAGTGTTCTTGATGACCTAGATCCTGAGGTTGGTGTGCAGGGCGGACGCGGGTGGCTGGTGATGACGTGGGACACCTGGTGGTGTGGTGGCCTCACTGGAGTCCCCCTCCTCGGCTGCAGGCCCAGGCCCCGATGGCCAGGGCGCTCAGGGTTACACACTCAGGAGAACCTCATGAGCCCTGAGGCAGGCGAGGCGAGTGTGTTTCTCCAAAACCAGTTTAGTGAAAGTGAGCAAAACTATTTCCCACTGGTTGAGGTAGGAAGAGCCCGATGTAGGAGGAAAAGGAGGAAAGAGATGCGATCTTACTGAGGCCTTGTGTGTAACCACTTCGGGGCAGAAGCCCCAGGGAAACTGAGATACTTCTGTGTTTTAGATGAGGAGACAGACTTGGGGAGGAATTTACATGAAACACCAGGCCGCCAAGCATCTGGGGTGCTATTTTAACCAGGCCTTGAGCCCCGGATGCAGACTTTTTAATATCTCACTTCTTACGAATGGGTGAGTAATGTGGAGTCTCTGACAGCCCCACAGAGGCTGGGTTCCCGAGCTGTAAACACGCAGCCAAGAGTGTAAGTGGGGCTTGCAGTATCTTTCTGAGTGCTTGCGGGCTAAGCAGTGTGCTCTGTGTCCATTTAACAAGCGCCTCTTTTACTCCTCGTGGTGTTATCTGCAACTCAGCAGCCCCCAGAGTTGTGCTCTGACTGCAGAGGTGGAACGGAAGTGAAATGTTTCACATGTGGCATTCTGATAGGCCAGGCACTTTGGGTATGACATTTACTTCTTTTTTTTTTTTTTTTTGGTACCAGGGATTGAACTTGGGACCTTGCCCTTTTGAGGCAGGCACCGGAACCACTGAGCTAAATCCCCGGCCCGACATTTACTTTTAAAAACACAAGTCTTCTGTTTTCCTTTTTTAAAACCAAGGATGGAATCTCAAAGCTTAATTGAGCTGAGGTCCATGTCTCCCAGGCCATTCACCTGCCCATTTCTGCAGGAGGCAGTTAGGGTGGGGGGCTTCTTGCCGGGGTCCCCCATGTCTGCCAGGAGCACTTTGGGCCCACACCGAGCCGAACCTAATTGTGATTAAAAAACAGAGGCCTCTGACCTCTGCATCGCAGATCTGCAAGGGACTCCGATTGGCCCCGGCTGTCCCTGCTCTGGGGGCTTGCTGGGAGCCTCCTTTCAGCACAGGACAAGGGGCAAGGAGGGTGACAGAGGTGCCCCCACTGCACACCCTCCTCCCTGCTCACACTGCTGTCCCCGCAGAGCGCTACGCTGCCCGCTGGGCTCCGGCAGAAAGACCAGACGCAGAAGGCAGCCACTGGCCCATTCAACCGCGAGCACCTCCTCTCGTACCTGGAGAAGGAGGCTCTGCAGCAGAAGGACAGGGAGGACTTCGTGCCCTACACTGGGGAGAAGAAAGGTGAGGACCCCAGGCACCCTGGGGCAGGGGTGCCCTTGCTGGGTTGTCTGGGGGCCTCAGAGAAGGTCTGCACTGGGAGACAGGTTTGCGGACATCATGGCTGGGGTGGGGGGCGTCTTTGACCTCGGGCATGAGCGCTGCAGCCGGCTGTGTGCTAAGCTTGCAAGCCCGAAAAGGGTGGCCAGTGCTGGCCACGGTGTGTCCAGCAGCAAGCACGGCCCAAGGTAAACTGCAGACCGGCCACTGACAGGCCCAGGACAGGGTCCTCTGAGGGCTGTGAGGGCATCATGAGTGAGGATGGGGGGAGGACAGGTAAGAGCCTAGAATTCTCCGTGCTCTGCGCTTTACTTGCCTGGGAACTGGAACTGATGTAAAAACTAAAGCTGCTGATGGAGAAGAGCAAGACGAGCAGCAGAATGCGAGTCCTCAGCCGTGATGGTCCTCGGGGTGGCCGGTCTCGTGCTCCCAAGAGAAGGTCTCGAACACGCAAGGCAGAGTCTGCCTGGACGGCTCCTCCCCGAGTGGGGCTTCCAGCCAGCGCTTCACCACAGCCCGGCCTCCACCACACCAGCCCAGCCCTGGCACCGGCCCAGCCCTGGCACCGGCCCATCCGCATTGCACTCGGCCAGTCACTCACCCAGCGCCTGCCCAGCCCCTGCTCTGAAGAGCCGCGTGCCAGGCCCCAGACCACCGCTGGGAGACCTGCCCTGCCTTCCAGGCGCTTGGGGTCCAGGCGAGGAGCTCAGGGATGGAGCCCGGAAGGCGGAAGGGCCCAGGGTGTTCCTCCACACCAGGCTGAGCTCTGAGCGGAGACGCAGCCACCGCCCTCTTTAATACCCAGCTCTGAGCTTGCCTTGGGAGGAAGAGTGGGTATCGGTAGCTGTGATCCCAGCTACACAAGAGGCTGAGGCAGGAGGATGGCAAGTTCAAGCTCAGCCCAGGCAACTCAGCCAGATGCCATCTCACAATAGGAAAGGGCTGGGGATGCAGCTCAGTGAGAAGGCCCTAGGTTCAAACCCAGTACTGCAAAAGAAACAAAACAAAACAAATTCAGCCTGTCAGACTCCCAGTGCTACAGTGACCCGGGCCACAGCCCCTAATGACCCCACACATGACCCCACGCCACCTCAGTCCTAAAGCACAAATCAATCATGCGGCCTGACAGCCCAGCCCCTCCCTGCAGTAACTGGGGGGGGGTGGCCTCCTGAAGCGTCCCCTGCCCTGGCTAGGCCCAGCCCCACCTGTCCATGCCCCTGCAGGACCTGCCCAGGCCCCCCTAGGCGCTTCGGCCCTGGATCACGTGCCCACGTGCCCGCCTGAGACTCTGGGTGTCGATGTCAGCCTCTGGCTTCCGGGTCTCTCTGTCAAGCACCCAGGTCGGCTGCCACGGCAGACATCACTGCCCTTGCCCTTTCTCTGTCCCGTCTCGGTGGGGAGTCCACAGTGGGACAGGTCTTCCTTGGACCTGGAACAGTGGAGGAGTTCAGGAAGGGCCGGCTCAAGGGGGCGAAAGGCAGAGCCTGCGCCAGGCACAGCTGACGGACCTTGCACTATTAAGAACGCTGCTGAGAAAGTAAAGTTGAACAGTGGCAAATTGGGTAAATTATCAGGATTAGTTTGGAAATAAAGAGCTGTTTCAGGGCCGGGGATTTAGCTCAGTGATTCTGCCCCTTGCCTCCTAAGCGCAAGGTCCTGAGTTCGATCCCCAATAGCCCCCCCCCAAAAAGAGCTGTTTTTATGGCAGCACAGTTGCTATTGTACTAAATGAAATGAAAATAAAAGAAATTATAATGTAAAATCTTCAATTGACGTGGAGTACTAGGTAGTGATGGCGAAGTGAGAGAAGGCTGTGGTCTCGAGCTTGGAGCAGAGGTCACGACATATCGAGGTGGTTGTCCTGGGGCAGACTAGCCTGCAGGTGGCCCCTGGGAATAAGGAATGAGGGACAGACCAGCGGAGGTCTGGGGCCCAGGAGGCTAAAGCACACACCACAGTCCCTGTGGCCGAGTGGCAGCCACCATGGGGTCCAGGGCTGGGCTCACCCTTTGGGGCAGCGCTGGTGTTGGCTGAACCCCGTCGGCCACTGTCCCAACACTGAGCCCTGTTGGGCTCCCTGCACCTGTGTATAGGGTCCTCAGAAGCAGTGCGGAAAGGAGGGACTTAGGGGCCCTGCCATGACGAAGACCCAAGATCCGAGCCAGAAGCCGATGTTCCCGGCTGCCGCTGCTCTGAAAGCGATGTCCGAGGTGGCGCTGAGCCTGGCCTAGGGCTGGCCCGTTTCCTGGCCGGCTTCTCCCTCTTCCTCCTGCTCCTCCGGTGCCCTCCTTTCCCAGGAAGTGTGGCGTAGGTGGTGCTGGACAGAAGATGTGGCGTCTGTCAGCAACAGGCCTTCTCCCGCCGTGGGGTGCCCCTCGTGCTGGCTCCTGCTCCCTGGTGGGGCCCTGAGGACATGGTTCCTGGGATCAGCACCTCCGGGGCTGGAGTAGGGGGAGGTCGGGCCAAGGAGGACGGTGCTGGGCCTCTGAGGCAGGCATAGGGCGGGGCCCATCCTGCCGGCCCTGATGGGGACACTGGTGCCACCATTTGCTCTGTTTTAAGGACCATGGCCCCGGTGGGGGGCACAGGACTCCTCTACGAGTGATCCTACCTTCTGGCCTGAATTCCTGCCTGGCATTGGCCTCATCCCAAGATTCAGGAACCACATGGGTGTGAACCTGGTCCAGCGCCTCATTTCCAGCTGTCACTCACTGTTCTCATAAAGCACAGCACGCCATGTGTTCTCTTCTGATTTAAGGGAGAGTCTTCATCCCCAAGGAAAAGCCCGTGGAAACCCGGCAAGAAGAAAAAGTGACCCTGGACCCAGAGCTGGAGGAAGCTTTGGCCAGCGCCTCCGACACGGAGCTCTACGACCTCGCGGGTGAGTCCCAGCCCGCTCCCACCTCAACCGCATTTCCTGCCCTCTGTCACGGGCACAGGTGGAAGTCACAGCCGACCCTCCCTGAGGCACCTGAGCCCTGAGCAGGTGCTGTGGTGCAGGCCCTGGCATTGCTCCTGAGGTGTAGACGAGAGTCTACAGGCAATAGGAGAAGAGACAAGGGGTTGGCAGGGCTGGCAGTGGGTCTCTATGGCAACGCCTCTTGGGCTGGTCACCGTCCAGAGGCCAACTGGAGGTCTGCTGGTCTAGAGATCTGATCCTGCTGTCAGTGTCCCTGGCAGCCACCTGCTCAGAACAGGGTGGTGGGGTGGATCTGTTAGCCAGAAAAAACATAGCAAAAGCATCAAACAGAAATTAAAACTTGGGCTGGGTGTGCAGCCCTAGTCCTGGCAACTTGGAAGGCTGAGGCAGGTAGATAGATTGATCTCAGGGGTTAGGGCCAGCCCAGGCAGCATAGTGAGTCCTCATCTTTTAAAAAATAAGTAAGGGAGCCTGGGCATGGTTTCTCATACCTATAATCCTAGTTACTCAGGAGACTGAGGCAGGGGGATTGTAAGTTCAACACCAGCCCAGACAACTCATTGAGCTCCTGTTCAAAATAAAAAATAAAAAGGGCAGAGGGTGGAGCTCAGTGGTAGAGTCCTGGATTCAGTCCAGTCCTCGGCACGAACTAACCCACCAACCATGGTAATGGAGCCCAGTTACTGCCTAAGTAAAAGGTGCTCAGTGATCATAGGGCCAGGTGTGTTACTGTGTGTTCTCAGTGCCCTGTGCTTATCAAAAGGGCAGCTTTGCTGGGTGTATTCCTAGCTGCTCAGGAGGCTGAGGCAGGAGGATCACCTCACCTGGACAACTTAGCAAAACTTTTCCTCCAGAAATCAAAAGGCGGTTTCAAAGTCCAAGGGCAGCCTGAACTACAGAGCCCATCTCAAAAGAAATTAAAAATAAAATGGACTGAAGATATTGCTCAGTTTCCCTGGGTTCAATTCTTAGTACCAGAGACAGAGAGACTTTCTCCCTAGACAATACCGGGGGTCGATAACCGTTCTTAGATGTTTAACGAGAAGGTGTAAAGCCCATGCAAGAGCATGTCACATAGGAGGAAGTCATTTGCTCTGAATAAGTGAAACGCCATCAGCATCCCCCTTTTACAAATGAGGATGTCCACAGGTGACGCGGTTGGCTCGCCTAGGGCTGCCTCTCTGGCTTCCATGGTCCCCGTCACCCCCACCCCTCTGCTGCCAGGAGCTCGGGCTCCACTTGGGGCTTCCCCCACCTCAGGCCACCTGGGTCCCTGCCTGCCCAGCCCGCACTGCACTGTGCTGCCCCCTGGTGCCAGCTCTGAGCATCATGAGACACTAATTCCCGCTCTTCAGCTGCCCTTTCAGGGGCCAGCTGCTGCTTCTATCCCCACCCTGCAGTGCTCTAGGCCTCCTAATACCGAGACACCATGAAGAAGGACTGTGGTCTTGCCTCTGCAAACAATATATGCAATCATCTATATAATGTTACACCTTAAGACCTTTTGACTCTCACTTGTAGGAAAAGGGCACCTTGAGACCATAGTGTTAAGTGAAAAATCAGACATGCGGTTTAAATATCACATGGTTTCCCTTAGATGAGTAACCCAAAGTATAAATAAATTAAAGAGCAAAACATGGGCTGGGGATTTAGCTCAGTGGTTTTGCCACCTGGTGCGCAAGTGCAAGGCCCCGAGTTTGATCCCCAGTACAAAAAAAAAGAGCAAAACAGAAGATAGATAATAAGAGGCAGGAGAGGACTTTTGCAATGGGAAGGAAACCAAGAGGCAGAGGCAATGGGGAGAGGGAGGAGAGAGGTGAAAACAGAACTACAGCGTGTTCTGTGCATGGACCACCTCTCCCTGGTGAATATGGTCACCATGTACTCCACACAGGGATGGACAGAAACTTAAAAGTTTGAGAAAAAATGCTTTGACTCGTTTTGCACATAAGAAAATCGAATGGTGGGGTCTACCTGACTAGGGTCTGAGTGGTTTTCACTAGCAGGGGCTGTAACTGACTGTTGTTTCTCAGGCCCTAAACGATTCCACTCGTGTCCATCCAGAAAGGCGTGAGGACCGCCTGTCGTCTGGGAGGAGGTTATGAACGCCCTCCATGCCCATGCTGTGTAAGAAAGGGGACCTGGACCCTGGTCCCCCACAGAGAGCTGTGCTTGCGGGGGAGCAGCGTGAAGGTCCATGCCTGCGTCTCCAAACTTAATGCTCATTTCCAATGCCTTTGTTCTCAGCCGTCCTTGGAGTACACAACTTGCTCAACAATCCAAAGTTTGATGAAGAGACAGCCAACAGCAAAGGCGGCAAGGGGCCTGTGAGGAGTAAGTAGCTGGAGGCTGGGGGCTAGAAGGCCTCGGGAGAGAGGCCTGGGCTCAGTCCTCACACTCAGTCCTGGCTCCAAGCAGAAGGCCTGGTGGGAGAAGCTGGCCGCTCTGGCCCTGGCTGGCTGGCAGTGTGACAGGCACTGAGCTGTTTTGCCCAGGACAGGCTTTCTTGGCCAGCCTGTTCAGCCAGAAGAGAAAAAGGCTGCCCGTTCAGTACCAAATGCAAATGAGGTCACCTGTTCCTGAGATGGAACTTAGGAAAACTTGAAGAAGATCGTAGCTGCTCTTACGAGGTGTGATTGAAGACACATTGCCATGAGTCCCCCTCAAAACCTCCCCCTCACTGTGAACACACTCATCCCACCATCCTTGCCACTTTCTGCAGCAGCTCTGGAGTCCTCTTTCCTGAGAGTCTTCAGTTGCACTGTCCTGGCTGTCTTGGTGTCCTGAGTGAATTTAAAACATTTCCCTTTCGTGGTCATTGTGACTTTGGGGAAGAGCCAGGAGTCTCACTGAGGTGGATGAGGATGCAGCGTCGTGGGCTCGCAAGCTGCCTTTCTGTTGAACAGCACACGGTGGCAGCAGTCACTGTATATTTGATCCACCTTGTAAAGACCCTCAGGAAAAACTCCAGAACTGCTTCAGAAGTGGCAGGAAGCATGGGTGGGATGAGTGTGTTCAAAGCGAGGGGGAGGATTTTGAGGGAGACTCGTGGCAATGCACCCTTTACTGTAGTAAATTTTAAAATTTAAACACATATTTTTTGACCGGCTCTCTTAGATTATATTTTGTTCTCTCTAAGAGAGACTTGGAGGTGCGGTGCTTTCTTGTCTCAGTAGTGTGATTCTTTCATTTGTGATTCTTTGATTGGCCTCTTCTCAAATTGTGACCTTTTTCAGTATCTGTTTACCTCAGTCTTCTGATGACTAGGTAGCATCTTGTTCTGTGATTGTGCTAGAATTTAACCATTTTCACATTGCTGAACATTTCTGTATCCTGTCTTGATGCTGCAAGTAACACATCAGGAAGTATCCTGAATACATTTCTTTATGTAGTCAGCCTGTTTCTTCTGTAGGTTAGACTTCTAGATATGGAATTGGTAGGTCATATACCACATTTTAAATGTCGATAGATAATATCTGGAGGCTGAGGCAGGAAGGTTCCAGTGAGTTTGTGGACATCCTGGACTACAAAGGGAGTCAAAAAAAATTACTTAGACCGGGCATTTAACTCAGTGATTCGGGCACCTGCCTTGAAACCACAAGGTCCCAAGTTTGATCCCCATACCAAAAAAAAAAAGCATGCCTCTAATTCCAGCACTTGGGAGGCTGAGGTAGGAGGATCGCTGCTAGCTCTAGGCCATCCTGGGCTAAATAGTGAGTTCAGGGACAGCCTGAACTACAAAGGGAGACCCTGCCTCAAAAAACCAAAAAAAAAAAAAAAAAATTACTCTCCCCAAAAGTTTTCAACCATTTACTGTCCCACCAATAATACATGAAGATGCCTCTCCCACATTGCTGCCAACTCTGTCATCCCGTTTACATTTTCTTGCTAAGGAAATAGTATCCTGTTTTCCATTTTGGAGCTTTGTTCCTTGTTACAGTTTTTAAGTCTTTTTGAATGTATTATGTATTTTTAATTGTGCTATTTATTGCTTTGCAGTAGCTGTATCAGGTTATATATTCTGTTTTATATATTCCACACATTTTCCATCAGATTCCTTTTGAGACATCTTCTGTTCTTTTCTATCCCTTTGTTTTTCCATGCCTTCCTCAAAACCAAAACTCCAGAATGGAAATCAGAACAAGGCAGGGTATAATCAATCAAGAGTCTGGGGGTGTAGTAAGACTAGGGAAATTAGAGCCAGATGTGGTGGCATATGCCTGCCATTCCAGCAATTTGGAGCCTGAGGCAGGAGGATCACTCTGAGTTTGAGTCCAGTGTGAGCTCCATAGTGAGTTCAAGGCCAGCCTGAACCACACAATGAGACCCTGTCTCAGAAAACAGTGCTGTCCCATGCCCGTGCCTACTCAGCCGAGGACAAGCTCACTGTTACTAGAGCGTTACTGGGATCAGAGCCAAGGAATAATTCTCTTTTGGGGGGTGCATGTGATATGAGAGATGAGCACTTGCATTTCTTTTTTTTGGTACCAGGGATTGAACTCGGGACCTTGCGCTTGCGAGGCAGGTGCCAGAACCACTGAGCTAAATCCCCGGCCCACTCGCATTTCGTTTTTAAAGTTAAAATTTGTGCTGCAGACGTGGTGAAAGGCGAGAAGGTCAAGCCAGTATTCGAGGAGCCTCCCAACCCCACCAACGTGGAAGTCAGTCTGCAGCAGATGAGGGCCAACGACCCCGGCCTACAGGAAGTGAACCTCAACAACATCAAGGTAGCGCACGGCGACCGCCTGCCCCCGACTGGCCTGCAGTGGCCTGCCCTGGCACCTTCCTCGGTCCGTTCTAGAGGTGGATTTTGAGGCGCGATGTCCTAGTCACAGAAGTAGAGTGTTAAAAGAGCAGTTTCTAGAATGTCCTGAAAGGCAAAGGCTCAAACTCAGTGTCAGCGCTGCGCACACAGCTTTGTCTGCTTGGAGGGCGAGAGTGACTTCCAAGAGGCTGTCAGGGCCGACGCCCCCCTCCACGAGGCACTTCGGGAGGCTGTCGGTCAGCAGTGTCCTCAGGCCCCACAGCAGCCTCTCTGAGGGCCTCCCCTGCCTCACGCTGCGACCCTGGCTTCCGCACCGGACGTGCGCTGAGTGGGGACAGGCGGGCACGGGGATCTGAGCCCTCGGTCCTGGTCCTGGCTCGGAGTCCGAGGTTGTCACTCGTTTCTGAGTGAGCAGTCACATCGCCCTCAGGGGAAGGGGAGTGAGTGTGTGTGTGTGTACATTGTGCGCACAGACACCTCCTGAGGTTTCTGCTGTTCATCTCCTGGGGAAAATTCCTGGCATCCAGTGACACATGCCACAGCCTTTGCTAAACGCTTCACGTCTGTTACCTCATCCGGTCCCCAGTGGAGGATGCAAAGCGGTTAAGCTGCTAGACCAGGACTGCTGTCCCCGCCAGCCGGGCCGCGCCGCCTCCTTCCCCAGGGCCAGGGCTGCGCTGTGCTTTGTAGAGAACCGAGGCGAGAAAGGTTCGCGGAGCCTTTAAACATTTACATTAGGAGGACATTAAGGCAGGCCCCGGACGGTGGGATTGTAGGGCAGGAGGATTTTAACACTCCTGGGGAGCCCACGGACAAAGGAGGGCCGAGTTCCGCGGGGCCTTGAGAGACGAGTCGGCCTAGATTGGAGAAAGGGCCGCAGGGAGTTTCAGCAAAAGGAAAGCCCGAGGGTACGGGGGAGAGGGGCCAGCCTGGCCGGAATCGCGAGGATGAAGAAAGACTGAGTGCGCATGCGTGTGAGTGTCAGGGCACGCGTGCGCGTTCCTTGCTGAGGGACGCCGGGCGAGCCCGTGTTCAGTTCCCGGGCTGGACGCTGGACGGCGCTGTCGCCCCGGCCTCCGAAGGCGACAGTGCGGCCTCCGAAGGCGACAGTGCGGCCGCCGTGGTCCTGCCTGGGCCCGCGATGACGCCGCGTCTCTGTGCCCTGTGCCGCAGAGCATCCCGATTCCCACCCTGAAGGACTTCGCCAAGGCACTGGAGACCAACACGCACGTGAGGAAGCTCAGCCTGGCCGCCACGCGCAGCGGCGACCCCGTGGCCGTGGTGAGTGTGGCCTGGGCGGGAGGCGCCGGGCTTCGCCAGGCCGGGGCCAGAGGCAGCTGGGCAGATGGTGCGTGCGGCCACTTTTGCACCCGACCGGGCCTGCGGGCGCGTGGCCGCCTAACCGCGGTCACGTGTGTTTTACTAACGTGCGAATGGGCTAATGCGTCTCAGAGGCATCTTAAGCAACCAAATGTGGAAGCAGTTTTTTGTACCAGGAATGTAGGCGGGGCCCAGCGCCCTGTGCCTTCCATGGGGTTCAGGTAACAGCGGAGCCGGCAGCGAGCCAGTGCTGTGACCCCGAGGTCTTGCTGGGCCCCGCCCTCCTTCCTGTTACTCGCAGCTTTCTTGAGGAGTTAGTAAGCTGGCCCTTTCCTCTGTTCTTTACTCCTCACTGCACTGTCCCTGTGATACTATGTGGGATGTGCTAAGATTTGTCCCCACTCTAAGAAATGAGAGCCAAGCATGGTGGCGCAGACCTGTGATCTCAGCATCAGGGAGGCTGAGGCAGGAGGGTCGCCATGAGATCAGCCTGGCATGTAATGGGTGGGGGGGAATGAATGAGCAAACTGAAGCCCGGACATCCACACCTCACAGCCAGTAAGGACAGAGTCTTAAGAACAGAGTCGGGGCTCACCCAAGGCTGCTGCAGCTACCGGCTGGGCCCTGGCCCATCCACTCAACAGGAAGCCTGGCTGTCGCGCCCTTCCTAAATCCTGTCATCAGTCAGGAACCCGGAGCTCAGACTGTACCTCAGCTTCTACACTCAGTCAAGCTAGTGAGACAGAAGCTGTCTGAGCGGACGGCTTGATGCGAAGTGGTACGTCTTTGGTAGATAACAGGTGATGGGGAAATGTGACTGCTGTCAATGGCGCCAGCATAGGATTGGTGTTGAAAAGTACTCGTTAAATGAATGAACTGTCATGACCCCAATCTCTCAGCAACAGAGACTATTCCTCTGGTCACGTCAGCAAACTTGAAATGAGCATGTGTGTAGAAGGAGGCCTAAGCTACAAAAGTGGTATTTTTGCCAGCAATGATTATATACCCAAATGTGTGGGTTGAAAGCAGTTTTGAACTTGAAACGTGTCATTAAAATAAAAAAGAGCTGCCCATGGTGGTACACTCCTGTGATCCCAGCACTCCTACAATACCAGCCCTCGGGAGGCTGAGGCAGGAGGATCACTGTGCATTCGAGGCCAGCCTGAGCTACATACACAGTGAGTTCAAGGCCAGCCTGAACTACATAGTGAGACCCTGTCTTAAAAAGCAAAACAAAATAATAATAATAAAATAATATAAGATGAAGGTCCCGAGTTCGATCCCTGGTACCAAAAAATAAATAAATAAATAAATAAATAAATAGGATAGAAAAATAGCAGAACCACATCATTGGTAAGTTAAAGTGAGCAGTTAAAGGATTCTTATAGTGTAGGATTTGTATCATCTCTGTTTGAAAAACAATATTCACAGTACACTTTGAGTATAGATCAATAAAGGCATGAACAAAGGGAGGATTGTCGCTTCTGTTTAATGCTCCTTATGTGGAACTGTGGGGTGGGGACAGTTTGAGGCCGGCCATCGCTGCTGGTCCTCACCCTGACCCTCTCCCCACTCCGCAGATAACGGCTGTCAACTGAATACATTCCAGGTGCAGTCTTCTCTCTCCTCCTTTTAATGCCCCACCCCACGCTGAAGGCCCAGCATGTGGCAAGTGCCAGGATAGAAATGATTTCAGGAAAATCTCTCTTCTGTCAGTTGCTGTTTGAAAAAATGACTGGCTTGGTCTAGTTGCCTAAGTCTGTGAGACAGAAGGACCGCAGAATGAGTGAAATACAAGTTTCATTCACCATCTCCCTGTTCTTCATTCGTGTGGATGATTTACTACTGCTTTCTGAAAATCATCCTTTTCCTTCTGACTGATCGAGGCATCACCCCACCCCGGCTCCCTCACTGCCCCTTCCCAGCCGAGGGTAAGCAGAGAACAGAAGCAGAAACAAGGAAAGAAGTGAAGGTCTAGAGAACATTTCTCTTTTCTTTTTTGTTTTGCTTTGTTTTTTGAGACAGGGTGTCATTGTGTAGTCCAAGCTGGCCTTGAACTTACAGAGATCCTCCTGCCCCGGCCTCCCTAGTGCTGGGATGACAGGTGTGCACCACCACACCTGACTAGGGAACATTTTCCAGGTGGTCATTGGCCCTGAGTTTTGTCAGAAGCCCTGTGAGAAAGTCCTTATTTTTAGCATCCAGACGTGCGGCAAGGAGGTGTTCATAGTGGATGTTACCCTGCTTTCCCACGACTGGTTCGTCGTGCTGCCTCCCGGGGTCACAGAGCACTGCGTCATTGGCATCAGTCCCCAAAGGTCCCCATCAAAGGCTGTTTGCATTCAGTAAGAAAACCTTTGATCTCGGGGTTCATGGCAACCGTACTTACATTAACTCAGTATGGTATTTTAAAACCACATGTGGCTGGGGATGAAGCTCAGTGGAGAGTGCATGCCTAGCGTGCACGAGGCCTTTAGTTCAATCCCAGTGCTGCCCACATTTAAAAAAAAATTATATTTAAAATCGCTTTTCCAGGCCCTGGGATTTAGCTCAGTGGCACCGTGCCTGCCTTGCAAGTGCAAGATCCTGAGTTCGATCCCTGGTACCAAACAAAACCAAAAACAAACAACAAAAAAGGAAATCTATAATCCCAGCACTCAGGAGGCCGAGGTAGGAGGATCATAAGATGGAGGCCATCCTGGACTACATAGCAAGACCCTGTCTCAAAGAAGAGGAAGAAGGAGAAAGAGGAGTAGAAAGAGAAAGGGAAGGGGAAGAGGAAGGAGAAGCAAAGGAAGAGGAAATAGGAAAAACAAAATCAATAAGTTAATTTAATATTCCATTTAAACTAATATATTCAAAATACCATTTTAAAATGGAACTTCAAAACACAACGTGGTATTTTCCATGCTTTTCTCCCTGTGATGTCTTTGCCATTGTGTGCACTTTCTATGCACAGTGCGTCCCACACAGCCTCGCCCTGGGTCAAGGGCCCAGGAGCTACACGTTTCTTGTGGTGACCACTAGGACAGCACAAAAAATTACATTTTCATATAATCCCGTAAAGTACCAAAAGCAAAACTTTCCTTTTCAGAATGCTTTTCCACTCTGACTGTTTCTATGACATTTGTGAACTCTCGCCTGTGTTTTCCTGGCACCATCATCCCCGGCACGTGTCACTGATGCCCAGTTTTTCGGGGCTGAAGGACAGCCGGGTTGTGTGGCCGGGGCCTCCCGCTCTGTTGGGTATGAGTGACATCCTGTTCTGAAGCTGACCGGAAAGCCCAGGCTGGCCCGTAAGGAAAGGCTCCGTGCCTGGGGCTCCGCTTCCACTGTGAGTGTTTAATGTGATTGATAAATGCACTTTCATGCTCACAGCGGCCGTGCCTTCCATCCAAACCCTGGGCTTTCTCTGCCACTCACACCGCTGTCTGGCGATGCACCGATGCTCCTTGGGCCAAGGCTGTCATCCGGGGCTCTGTGGCGTCCCGGGACACTTGGCAGTGTCTGGAGGTGGTTTGAGTCATCAGACTGGGCGGAGCACCGTTGACATTCAGGGGGTCTCCGAGGTCTCCAAGGCCAGCGTGCTGCTGAACACCCTCTGGTGGCCGGGACAATCCTGAGGAGTGGGAGAGTCCTCTCCTGCTGCCCCTCTCCTGCTGAATTCCTTCCCCTCTTCCTGCTCTCCATGCAAACACAGGGAAAATAGCTCAGCACTTACTCCCACACCCCAGGAGCAAGCATGACCCACGGATCCTGGTTTGTTTGCATTCTCCTCCTTGCCCCGGACTGTGACCTAGGTGGCTGTGCTGAGTGGCCGCACCCCGAGGGTCCTGTCACGGCCGGTGGACCAGCAGGGAGGTTCTGATTGACGCCCCTCAGCTCACCCCAGGCAGTCAGGGCAGCGTGCACAGGAGTTTGCCTCTCATTTGTCGCCTTAGTAATGGTAGATTCGTTGTCGTAACAGGCGAGGGCCGTTCTTGCTTATCAGTTCCCATCCTCCTTCTGCACTTGCAGCTACACAACTGAGAGCTTAGATCCCGCTGACCGGCCTCACAGCCTGTGACCAGCGCTGCCTGCTCCCGCATCCTCGTGGCTGACGCTCGCTCTTGCTCTGCCCTCCAGGGTTCCTCTCACTCCTTGGGGTTCCATGTTTCTCCACGTCCTCACAGGGGCCTTTCTTGTTCATTCTTCTCAGTAGTTATCGGTTTCTCTAGTGCTCAGAAAGTTTTCCTGTTGGTTATTTGAGAGTTTCTCTTTTTTTTTTGTCTTTTTTAATTTATTTTTTGGTCCTACCAGAACTCCTCTTGGGTTTATGTTGGACCTTTACATCGTTCCTCCAATTTGTCCTGACGTTTTCCACCTACATCCTTGGAAATATCCTCAGCTTTATCTTCCAGGTTACTGTGCTCGTTTTATAATTCCAACGCTTATCCTAGTGGAGTATCTTTGACTTACAAAATATTTCTTATTCCTCTTTTTAAAATATATAATACAGTGGGGGTGGTTGTACTCACCTGTAATCCTAGCATTTGGGAGGCTGAGCCAGGAGGATCGCCATGAGTTTGAAGCCGGCCTGGACCACATAGTGAGATCCTGTCTCAAAAAAACCAAACTAATAGTAATAATAATAATAATGATAATGGTAGGGGAACCCATTTTCTCACCCCCTTTCTGTCTCTTAGACAGAAGCTCTTTCTCTCAATAAATTTTTCCTACTCTTAAAAAAAATAATAAATCTAGTAGCCAGTGTGTAGTCCATGTATACAGTGCCCTCTCTTCTTGTTCTTAGGGGGTTGGCAAGGGAGGGCTAAGTGACCACAGTTAGACAAATAGAGTTTCCACTTGGTTTTTGTTCCCTCTCTGGCACACCATGCCCTTCAGCTGCCTTAGCCTTTTGCTCCCGTGAGTTGGGTTTTTTTAACACGCCCGCCAGCAGTTTCTGGTTGCTCATTGGTATTTGTGAATGGAGATCAGGTGGGTCTGTATAAACTAGAATCATTTCTTCTGCCATCCTGAAGATCCGTTACACTACAGGCTTTTCTCTCCCAGGGAGCCTCTTTGTTGTTCCGCAGTCATCACCTCTGACAAGCTGGCTGCTGTAGTTATTCTCTCTGCCCTCCTGCTCAAGGGTAAGCTCCCAGTGACAAGGCTTTTGTCTCCTCTTCCGCTGGACCACCCGGGAACCTACAGTGTTTTCTGGATGGATGGATGGTGGGTAGGTGGATGGGTGGGAAGGGGAAGGAAGGAAAGAGGGAGAGAGGAGAGAAGGGCGCTTTCCAGAACGGTGAGCTACTCAGTGGCCTTCTCTGTGTGGTCTGAGGAGTCAGCAGCACCGTGGGACCCCGTCCACCATCTTTTGTCCCTGCTGCAGCCGGAGGGCTGCGCTATGGGTAGACAGCTGATTTAGGTAGAAATATTCTAGGCAGGCCGACAGGGCTGGGCCCTCGAGGGAGTCAGCACAGAGCATGAGAACACATCACAGCTATGGCTGGAGGTGCATCCATCGGAGGCCAGGCCTCAAGATAAAGACGGAATGACCAGGCTGCGTGCCTGCCCAAGGGTTAGGTGATAACTTGAGGTTATACTCTAACTGGTATCACCTGGTCCAATAAAGTCCAGATAGACATCAGTCACCCAGGTGGGTGAGCAGGACCTCCTGACCCATCCCTTCCTGAAAAGCCCTTTGCTCCATGACCTGCCTCCCCACTGGATCAATATTACCTAAGCGGCTCTACTTGCAAACTTAGTGGTTGATCACAGCTTTGACCCATGTTGTACCCTCCTCGTGATTTTGCTCTATAAAACATTCTTAGAGAAATGGCCTTGGTGGCAACCCACTTTCGGGTCCCCTGCTGTCTCTCAGGTGCTGACTCTCAATAAATCTCCTGCTCTGAACCTCCGTTGTTACCTGGAATCCATTCATGGATTTGGGGACACAAATGCAGCGTACCTGACACCTAGCAGGTTGGGAGGGCACGTGCTGTGGTCCCTCAGCCCTGCCACACCGCCCTGCTCTATCCATGGAGGCCTCTGTCTCCAGTCCATCTGTCTCTGGCTGTGCCCTTCCAGGAGGCTGCGGCAGGCTGCTGGCATCCCCGGCTACTCCAGCCGTCCCATCTGCCCCGCTCTGTCCCTGAGGCTGTCCTTTGACAACTGCCTCAGACGGACTCCTAAAATATCTAACGCGTGCAGAGTAATTTTACCTGTTCCCGGGGCTCAGTGTGGCATTGAGATACTTTGATGTACACATGGTGGGACAAGGTCAGGGAGCCCAGCACAGTCGCCAGCTCAAGCTGTTGACATTTCTTTATGTGGCTGACTCATCTCTATTTTGAAATACACAACAAATTACTGACAGTAGTTACAGAACACAGAAACTCACTTCTCCTAACTCTAATTTGTTTTTTTTCAAGGAAATGTATTAAAATTAAATTTAATAATCAATGAAAACATATTAATCTGTTAACAGCCCTCTCCACCTCCCTACGCCTTCCCCGCTCTGGTGACTCTGCTCGCTGTCACCATCTCTGAGATACACGTGAGAACTTGTGTCCCCATTTGTCTCCACACCTGGGTTATGTCCTGTAGCCTAAGGTCCTGCAGGCTTCTCTGTAGGGGATAGGGGAAGGGGACGTTACCAGAACCTCTGCAGTTAGTCCTGGTCTCCTGCGAGCCACGGCAGCACACGGCGAATTAGAGTAAAGGTAGAAAAATGAGACCGAGAAGAAGCTGAGCTTTGGGTCTGATCAGTGCTGCTCTGGGCAGCAAAGACAA